CCCACCAATCTCTCACTGTGTGCTAATGGCTACATTACCTAGCAGAATCATGACTAGCCAGGCTCTGCTGCCCTGCAGATTATGCCTGACCCAATTTCTGCAACAGCCGCCCTGTGTTTCTGGGAAAATGGATAGCGTTAGACAACAGCAGTGATTTATGGGCAACTCCAGCAGCAGCGAAGAGGTGAGGTGCAGGAGGATGAATTTGTGACAGATAGGAGAGAGAGTGAAAAGAGAGATAGAGAGAGCGATGGGGGACAGTAACACTTATGAAAAGGAGCAATAGCTTTGGTTGAATGAAGCTGTTTATTAGTTTCCAAGTGGTCATTATGTCATCAGGCGTGACGGTAATATGCTGCTCTTTTGGATGGATGTTTGCACCCCACTGACTTCTGGGAAATCTGCATGACCTGTCACCTGAAGTTGTTTGATTTAGAAGACAAGGCGAGAGGGAGAGAGATGTGTGGAGAAAATAAGAGCCAAAGTGAAAGAGAGGAATAGGTGGGGTGGGGTGGGGGGGTGGGGGGGTGTTCGATGTAACTATGTATCACTGCAATGGCAGGCGTGAATTACAAATTTTAATAGCAAGGCAATGAAAATGATTTGAAGTGGTTTAAACTGCGAAGAGACAGCGACTGGCATGGTGATGAAGATTTGTTGAGATGATATGTTGTGCCTTAGGATTCATCAAACCTGCCTGGTAAGGTGAAAAGCAAGTGTAATTCACTCTGTGGTATAATTTATGATGGGAGTAATGGAAACTGTGGGCTACACACAGTGTGGAGAGGGAGAAGCAAAGACAGCGTGCACCCGGCAAATTGATTCTCAGGATAGTTTTTATAGCATATTTACAGAATCGTAATGAATTAAAACCCCCAGATATCACCTCTTTTACATCTTGAGATAAAATGAAGATCAAAACTAAATTAATTGAGTCCACATTAAATTGATATAGGCTGCAAACACACCATCTAACACTTTACTTTTTCATTAATAATGTTCTCTTCTAACATCTGAAGATTTCTTCTTCTTCTTTTTTTTTTTTAAATATCCCTTCCTTTCATCATTTATTTGGATGAGGGCTTTTCAACTACCTCCCAACATATTTACAGCACCAATTTGATTTAAAGAGGGTATGTGTGGCTTCATATTAGAGTGGAAGGTTATGAAGTATAACACCACGAGCAGATGCAGAGCCCCGGGTCTGCCTCAAGACAAGAGTTTTAAAAGCGATCGCAATGCATTAAGCCAGACAACTCTCAAGACCTGTTTGCTCCCTAAATGAATTTGAGAGGAGCGTAACAAGATTTTTGAGGCAGGCCCTGTCATCCGCTGGCTTTAACCAGCTTCTGTATTTATGGGCTAATGGTTAAAAAGGAGAGCTTGGAGCAGAAGTGATTTTTCATGATTCTGTTTTATATCAACTGGAAATGAAGGAGCTGAAGGGAAATTGTGTTTGTCCCCCCTCCACAGCCTCTACCCCTTCGCCTTAACAGGGGAGGAATATGCTACCAGGCAAATGGCCGCAGTAAATGCAACATATGGACTAAGTTTATTAAATGAAATAAGGTAAAGTTACGGCTTTATAAATGACTTTAAACCAAAATCGTAATGAAAACCTTTAATAAGGGGCTATATCTTTTAAATAGATAAATACGCCTTTTAATAAAAGTTTAAGTCTGTTATTTGATTAAAAATAACAAAAAATAGTGTTCAGTCTCAAAATCAGTTTAGTTAAACTCGTGATATTGTGACTGTCTACATTAATGTACTGTATATTTTAAGCTGTTTAAAAACTAAAGGTCAAATAGAAAAATCTCTTTTATTTGAACCATAATGAAAACCTTTCCATGCCTAAGTCAAACTCAAAGAACAATATTTACCCAGTAATGTGGACTAGCGCTTTAATGGCAAAATGCACTGTGCGTAATTGTAAAATTACCGACCATTTCTTGAAACTCTGATTCTGAAGTGCCCTTCTCTGGTCAATATGCATCAAACTATTATAGACTACAGTATGTGCAGAGAATTCGGCTATTACTTTAGAGATAAGTCCATTAGCATTACCTTTGACACAATAATGGATGTGAGATATAATTTTGTGCACTCCATTTTGTATTTGTAAGGATAATAGGGGGATTATCTTGAAGGCCTTATGCTACACGCTCAAGCATGAGACCACAGAGACAGAGAGCTCTGCAACAGTTGTTTTCACATCCTCCCCTCTCTCCCTCGGCCCTCCCCTCTGCTCCAAGACCCTCTCGGAGAGAGGCAGGGAAGATAAAGCATGTCATTATTCTATTAAAGACCTACAATTTTTGTAATGGGACTTGCAGTGGTCGGCAGAAGTGCAGGCAGCTTCTTCAATATCCTGGACATTATTTGCTCGTTTAGTTAAATGATGTTTCTAATTCCCTCATAATTACTTGTAATGAGGCTGTCTCCCTCGTTTTGATGCGGCTACATCTTAATACAGCATGGCATTCTTTTTTAGGGATAATTATCTCTCATGAGGCTGTGGAGCAAGGCTGGGGTTTGTTGTGCGCTGCACACGTGGCAAATTGGCTTGTTTCCTGCCATCTTGTCTTCCTGCAAATTGGTAAATTAAGTTTCTCGGCTGGAGCATTAGAACTGTTAAGTTTGCTTTCTCGGCTCCTTCAAATGATTGGATTCACTGACAGAGAGATGGCCGCATATTCTCTGTTTTGTCTCATTAACTTTGTACGCTTTACAGAGCTGAATATTGGAGCATTAACAAAACTGTTACAAACACAGTTTTAAAATAATCTGGGCATCTAACCCAGATCACAGGGGAACACAAAGCATGCTAATTCCTTAAGGCTACATTTTACATTCATGCTTTACTATTAAGCCAGTGAGTCTAAACTTTAATCCAGTTTTACTGAGAGACAAATCTCAACACTGTTTTGGGGAAAAAAAGAAGCTGGAATCCAAATTAAGTCCATTTGTTATAGCGCTAAAAGACAACAGTGGTGCCATAAAATGTATCTGCACTGCCACTGTGTCAAAAAAAAAAAGGTACTGAACCAGTTCTGTAATTTTCCTCTTCATAACATTATCAGGAGAGCTGCTCATTACCTTATATTGTGGGTAATAAATAACTATTTTATATTCAAGAGTTTAAACATGCTATAGATATGCAGAATTTCAGTTTACGATAGATTTTCCCTTCCTGTTCCCCATCAGTTAGTAGACCTGTCTGTGCTGTCCCTCTGAAATGATCCAGCTGCCGTACTCCAACCGCAGCCATTGCAGGGTTGGGTGAGGGGTTTTTATTTCTAAGTGCTGATGTGTCGCAGACAGTTTGGCTCTACAAGGGCCTGTTACACGCCGATTAAAGAGAGGGAAGGAGTGCTCCCGCAGGGCGGCCTTGTACATTTACCCTGACCACAAAAAGGTCTAACGTTTACGCCCTGGTGCTGACATGACCTTCAAACAAGGTCCCTCTGCTGCCTGGGTGGATACTGGAACTGTCTGGAGCCCTGCAGTGGACCTAACAGACAGACAGGAAGAAATCATATCTTTTATATCAGGAATGCCCTGTCATATCCTGGGAAGTGAGAAGATATGGCTTTTATTGGAAAATACAAGAAAGGATAGTTATTTTTTGCACTTTTATGGCAATATGTGATTGTGATTTTATAAAAGCCTTTGTCAGATTCACTGAATGTTGGAACATGATATGACAATATTCTCGCCATTAAAATCCCCTACACTGAACAAACTGACACACATAAAAGACACAAAATAATTCAGATCCAAATCCAGTCCACAGTCATCTATTGGTGG